CTCGTGTGTGTCTGTGTGTCTGTCTGTTCCACTAGAAGGAGATGTGCTAGAGACTTGAAATTTTCAGGGTATCTTAAGGTCCACTCCTAGAGAACGAAACGCCCACGGCAAATCCTGGCAACCACCCCTAAGGGTGTGAATGGGGGTATCCAAGGTTCAAAAATTCTCCTAATGTTCTCCTAGAGGGTAACTCGTCAAAGTAGAGCACTTTGGGCGAAAATTTCGTCCGTTTCGCTATATCCCTAAACGTTTAGGCGCTAGAGGAAACTCTCCCCCCACCCCCAAAAAACGTTTTCTAAGCAGAAGGGTGGGTTATAGTCGCGGTGCTTCCCCGTTACATCCCTTCCTCGTGTATACGGGGCAAACTCAAAGACGAGGGGTTTAAGCGGGCCGAAGGCCCGCTACATCATTCGAACATGTTCTCCAGCAAATCGCGTCACAAAAATGGTCGGGCCGCAGGCCCGACCATCGCCGCCAGCCGGCCAAGCAGGCCCGGCCCCTGCCGAATGGAGTTGCCGGCGGAGCAAAGCGGAGCTGGCAACTCCGTTTGGCGGAAGGGCGGGCCTTCTTGTTAACAAATTACGATACGTCGTTATTTTACGAATTGCTTTGTAAAATCCAAAGCTCCGTCTAGGCGGTATGAAAATTGTTATAATTTTTGACTAATTTTATGATGTCTAACCCAAAAATTTGCACACGTTACGAACTATATTTGTAACTTTACGTAACGTGTCGTAAAGTGACACTTAAATTATTTTTTACGAAGCATTTCGTAACATTTTTTTTCGTAAGATCACGAAAACGTTTTACAGTGCACGTTTGAGACATCGTATAGTTTCCCACAGACTCTCTCAAGCTCTTAAGGACGCATTGTAGGGGTACAACTGCTTCGCCAATAGGTGGCGCTTTGGCATCTGGGGACGATAGTCTTGCGCGAGCGGACCTGACAACGGCAGTACTATGAGAGCCTGCACCCCACTCTCCTCCAAGTTCCCCGCCTGAATTTGGCGGGCTACAAATTTTGATGGTGCTCGTTCCGGCTTAAAGTTCAAAAGGGATGGTTAGCGGCGCGCACACTCGCCTGACGTTTTGCCGAATTTAATCACACACCTACGTCACTTCCCGCCATGGCTCAGCCCTGTATCCTCCCTTTTGACGGGTTCTTCTTCGACCCATCTCTAGATTGTCTCCAAACCGTCTCGAGGGAAACGTCATCTGCTTTCACGTTAGCGTTAACGTTTTTTTTTTTCGAATATTTTTTTATGGGTCTATACAGGTTAACTCGTGAAAGAAGCACCCCTGCGAACGAAAGTTTCGTCCGTTTTCTTTTATCTTGTACCGTTTGGGTGTTAGGGGGCATTTCTTGGCGAAAATAATGCAAAAATGACCTAATGGTCTATGAAACCGTGAACAAGGCTTTATGTTAAAAATTGTAAGGGATGTAATACTTAAACGACACATTTGGCGTCGAACCACACCCTCTTTTCGGCTCAAGGGTCCCTAGATTATCTACTATCACCAAAACGTTGATTTTTACATAACATTCTGTCAAATTAGAACACTTAATGAACATCAGTATCAGAAGTTTCATGCACCTAATTTTGGAGTAAAAAGTCCCCGAGAAATGATGAGAGCATGTCGAATTTGGGGATCGGCAGGTCAGATTTCCGTATACACGCCAAATTGTCCGCAAATTAATCAGATAATTGGCAGTAAAACCCTCCTAAATCGCAGTTTACAGGTCCAAAACGGGAATGTTGGAGAGTTTATGTTTCTGTAGAAGGCGAAGCGAGCGAGAAAATTTTCTGATTCAATATTTGATTTGAATTCTAGGTTAGTTGATGAGAGAAGGACTAGGTCGATTGAGTGGGTTGATGCAAAGCAACGAAAATGATTGAAGTAGTACTTGTAGATTGTGTAGTACGCTTCATTGATGTTTGTCCACCCTAAGCTGAAGCAGTAGAACAACCACTATATGAGTTGTGAATTCGCAAGCGATGGAAGCGAGAAGCCATAGCTAGACGGTTTCATTTAACACTCCAGGATCGATTTTTAAAGTGTTTCTAATGTCATTTCTACTCATTCCTCTTAGTACTTTATTGTCTATTGTTGCTCCCCCCCCCCCCCTGGCCAAAAGTTAAGGGGTGGGGGGGATCCCCCCCCCCTTCCCACGGTGTCAGCACCTCTGCCTCCATATTAAAGAAGTTATCATCGGATCAAACGACCATGGTAATATCTCATACTGAAGCAGACGGAAACACATAAATAGTTGAGTTTGTTCGTTTTCACTGACGATGACGAAAATACCATATGGCTAATGTTTAGTACTCGTCACGTGACAAAACCATTCGTCATGTTCCAAAAAGCCCATGACGACACCCCTGTGCCAGAAATAAGCCATGGTATTTTTTTCATCGTGACAAAGAAATTTTACAGTGTGCTCAGATGTTAGCATTTCTCTGCGGGAAGAGAACGATATGTCCGTAACGAAATCATACTACCGTTGTGCCTAATTGGGCACTATTTGTATAGTAACAAAAAATCAATGCGTCGGGTCTTCAGCTATAGTAGCTATAGAAGCTGCAGCTATAGTTACGTTGAGTGACGATGCCCTGGTCTGTTTTAAACTGTCCTGAGTGGACCTACCTGCAGGAGGGGGAGAGCTTGGGGTCCTTGTTGATAGTAAGTCCGAGCTTGGCCAAGGTGTCCTGACGCACCACGCCCATTCTCAGGCCCTCCACCATGACGGCCAGGTCGTGGTTGCCCTCGTCACTGAGATAGCCGAACTCCACGATGGGCTGCCCGAGGGGATCCGAAGCATTGAGGCGTACCCGTCCGCGGCTGCGGGGGTGCAGCACGGCGGGCATCCACTTGACGCGGTTCCATCGCCAGGCATCGTTGTCAAGGCACCTGCGAGTAATTACGATATTATGTCGTGGGCTCCCTGTCGATTCGCCCCATCACTACTCGTCCCCGGGTGCGTCTGGTACTCCGTCTATTTGTCAACAGTCGTTTTCTGATACATTTTTCGTCCGAAGATATTTTGTCCCTTTAGTTGTAATTTTTGTCCCCTAATTTTCCTACCTTCCCGTCCCTTTTTCATCCCTTTCAGTAATTAGCCTTAGTTTCGTCAGAAGAATCGTTTTTGACAGTTAAATCTAGGTTTCATTCAATCTAAGACCGTTTTCACCTCGGTTGTCACTTGGTTCTCCGAGTGACAAACGGAGGGTTCCGTTTCAAGCCAATTCGTTCACACACTAATTATGAACGTGATCGAACCACTGACTTCCTTACTTCGTCGAAGGTCGAAAGTAACTATCAAGCGAAATAAGCTCGACATCCAAATAATGTCACTAGGTGCCAAGAAGATCGAGTGGTCGAGTTCCGGGCCTGTTTTTGCAGCCACAACGTCTGAGCAGACTAAGTGTACCATATGGTTCACTTAGCGTGCGGCTCTTGATTGAGCAGGGGACGTATGGCCTTTCTCCCAAGACGTCCCCGTGGTCAAGTGGTCAGCGTGACAGGATTGCAGCCCAGAAGTCCGAGGTTCAACTTTCCGACCGGTAAGGTATTTCGTATTGTGTAATTAACGTATTAACTTTTAAATCAATAGAAGAGAGGGGAGGGTGCAGCGAGACGCGAGAGTTCGATCCGAGTACACAACCCAAAATTATCATTTTTATTTTCAAAATGCGTATGGGAAAAATCCGACACGTGCCAAAGAAATCTGATGCACTCGTATGGTACTTTTACCACACAGCACTTATTCTAAATCCATCTTTAAAATCTGCTGCAGGCGTATGGGATTTTTCCCATACATCAGTATAGAAAAAATCCCACACACGTATATGTAAATACCTTCATATACATTTGTGGGATTTTTCCCACAAATATTTTTTACAGTCATTTCTTTTAAAGTGACTAATTATCTACACCCAGAAAAGCCAATTCTTGGATGAAGCCCACTACTTGAATTGAGTGCACTGATCTTGCTGACAGCAAGTACAATTTGTACTTAGGGCGTGAGCTTGGGCCCAAATCAACCCCAATTTGTTCTTAAATCACCCTTTTTGCACTTGCCTGAAATGAAGTGATCTTGGTTCAAGGCCAAATTGAGATTGAATTAATAGTCAAGTTTTTGAAATTTTCAAGAACAGGCTTCTCTGGGTGTTGAAAGTAATCATTACTGACACGGAAAAAAAAAGAATTAGCTAAATTAGCTAATGCATTCCCTAATATGGCCTTAGATTAGAATATTAGCTCTCCTAGCTAATTCTTAGTTAGGAGAGCTAATAGATTAGCAATGAGAGTTGTCTACAAAATAAAGCAACTAGCTGTGAAAGCTAATATTTTAGCTTTCTTAGCTGGGAATTAGCTAGGAAAGCTAATTTTCTAATCTAAGGCCATATTAGCGAATGCATTAGCTAATTTAGCTAATTTTTTTTTTCCGAGGAGGACGAATTAACCAGCGACAAAAACGAACCACGAAGGGGAACATACTAAACCCACATGGAAAATAAGAAGACATTTAACACTAGAACTACCGGGATTTTCGTATACCTAGATCTACCGGAGGGGTCATTTTGACCTCTAGGTACTATTCCGCCGTTTTAGCTGTGAAAAGACTGCGGTTTTGGGTACACAACTTCTTATTTTCGTTTTTGATGACACTTCATGCAATTTTTGCACCCACGGGGGTCCCTGTGAAGGGGAAGGTAGGCAACCCGCAAAGCACAAAATGTAATTTTTCAGGAGTTTTACCGATTTTTTTCGTAGTTTTTCGTTTTGTTTTGGGAAAATTGCATAGAATTACCATAATATACAATAATTCTCAACATTTAAGCATAGTCTGTGTTTATTTCAGTCGGAGCGACAACCGTAAACACCGCAAATACGGTAAGTAATTCTGAAACTTTGGTTATGCGAATAAAACAGTGCACAGATATCGTGCAATAACAGTCGTATTAGACCATTTATTATCATTTTTAACCTCCGTTCAACCATGTAGCGCGTTTTCAGGCTGACAGTACCGTTGCGAATGCCTCATAAGTATTATGTGAGAAAAACATGATTTTGTGATGTGCGCGTTGCCTACCTATGCTGATAGAGGTTCAAAATTGTTACACGACCAAGCGGAAGTCAACACTTTCCACACAGAACAACAACGGCAAGGTTTAAGTTGAGAACCGCTCGTTAAAACCATCAAAGCCCTCGAAACCTGACACAGGGGTCAAAATGACCCCTTCGGTAGAGCGAGGTATATGTTACAATATCTCCAAGGTTTTTGACGCACATGCCTGGTTTTTCGTGTCAAAGCGTATTTTGATGACCCATAAAAAGTCAAAAAGTGGTGGGTCGGTAGAAAAAAAAATTGATAGTTCATTTGGCAATTCAAAATCAAAAGGGGTCATTTTGACCCCTCCGGTAGTTCTAGTGTTTATCCAAGTAAATGGCGGTGACTACACATTAAAAACAGATGGTGAACATATAAAAAACTGGAAAATCTAGCCGTAGCCACGAGGAAATACAAGATTGACGTGGATTAACGGATGTTTTGTCCTGACACGTTTCGGTTAAAAGAGGAAGTTACATTGACTGTTCTAAGCTATCTGTCTAGCAAAACTAAATTATGAAAGCTGTGACAGCCCTGACCAAATATCCATAAAATGCCACCCCCCTTCCCATAATGAGAACTTTTTCCATTTATTGGGCCCAAATTCACATCTTCAAGCCGAATTTCCCATGATGTAAAGTGCTTGGTAAATATTCAAGGAACTAACTTCACTACACTGTTAAAAAAACTGTAGACTCGCCAATCACAATGAGCATACATTCCTGACCGTATTTTATGTAACGATCAAACTATATTTTATTTAAGGGCCAGAAATTGTATTAAATTTTTGAACTGTATTTTACAGTACAGGCCGGACTGTATTTATTTTTACTGTCTGGCCTGTAACAGTCTGGACTGTACACCGGAGTACAGTCTTGTCTGTATTTTTAGCCCGCCCTTCTGCTTTGAAAAAGCTATTCAGCGGGCTTATGCAAACGACCTCGTGTGTGTCTGTCTGTGTGTCTGTGTGTCTGTGTGTCTGTCTGTTCCACTAGAAGGAGATGTGCTAGAGACTTGAAATTTTCAGGGTATCTTAAGGTCCACTCCTAGAGAACGAAACGCCTACGGCAAATCCTGGCAACTACCCCTAAGGGGGTGAAAGGGGGTATCGAAGAAAATGGGGTAGGTCAAAAAAGTCAGAAAAAAATATTTCTTTTAGAAGCTCCTAAGGGGTAACTCGTCCAAGTAGAGCCCTATGGACGAAAATTTCGTCCGTTTTGCTCTATCTCTCACCGTTTAGGCGCTAGAGAGAGTTTCTATCACGAAAGTGGCCCAAAAATAAACAAATTAATTTTAGAAAATATTAGATGGCCCCCTAAGGGGTAACTTGCAAAAGTAGAGCCCTTTGGGCGAAAATTTCGTCCGTTTTGCTCTATCATTTACCGTTTGGGCGCTAGAGGGAGTTCCTCTCACAAAAGTGGCCCAAATTCTTTTTATTAATTTCCGAAAATATTGAATGGTCTCCTAAGAGGTAAC